GTGTTTTACACCCCACCTCCTAAAGAATGTAAGCTCGATTGAGCAGGGTCCTCTTCAACTTATTGTTCCCGTAAGTTTTTTGTAATTGTCTTAATTATAGTTAAATCTCCCTCTCATAATATTATAAAGCGCTACGGAATCTGTTGGCGCTATATAAATGGCAATAATAATAATAAGTGGCATCAAGGAGGAAGTGTCCCCAAGCAGGGCAAATCAGCAAAGAGTGGAGGAGAAGTGAGTGAGGACTGGAGGTGCGTGTTACAGAAATGTAACATCCACCTCTTTAATTCGATGGCAGTGAGGGAGCAGAGAGCCAGTAAGCCGTGACAGTTTACCTTTAAAAATCCAGGAAAAAATTACAAAGCTCACATGGAATTCTTGGGATAAATTAGTGTCTTGTTATCTAGCACCGCTATGTTTTCCAAATGTTGTTAAAAGCCTGGCAGAATCTAGAATTCATGTTATATGAGAAGAAACCAATATAATCATTTGGGTTATTATGGGTTTTCATCCTTTTTTTAATTAGATGGGTACTCAATGATAGAATTGACCCAATTAATTAATGGGCAACTTTCAGAACCGGTAAATATCCGAAATGGCACGAGAAAGGGGTGCCCCTCTACCCGCTGTTTTTTATCCTCATAATGTAACCATTTTTTCAAGGTATTAGAGACAATGTACATATCCACTGAGTCAATACGAGCACACAAGAATACAAAGTCGCAGCATTCCTGATGATCTTCTCTTTACTATCTCCCAACCCCTAACATCCATGACACCTCTACTAAATGAAATTGCCCTCTACCGCCACTTGTTCAACTTTAAAGTGAATTTCTCAAAAAGCTAAATTCTCCCAATATAAATAGACACACAAATTAAACATTCGCTCCAATCCACTTTCCCTTTCCATTGAGCAGACACCTCAATCAAGTACCTAGGAGTACACCTCCCACACAAATTAAACAAAACATTTGAGCTTCCCACCACTCTTACAATCTATACCCAAAGACCTTATAGCATGGCACAAACAATTTTTGAAAATGAACACGCTATCCAAACTACTGTACCTGTTGCAGACTTTGCCCATCCATTTACCCAGATCATTCTTTTCTGACATCAAAAGCCTTTTCACTCGATTTATATGGTCCCATAAACATCCCAGAATTCCATTTAACCCCTTAAGAACACATGACATGTGTGACATGCCATGATTCCCTTTTATTCCAGAAGTTTGGTCCTTAAGGGGTTAAACTTCAGACCAGACACAAACACGACAGAGGCTTAGGATTACCTGATATAGAAACCTATTACAAAGCAAAAATGCTAACCAGAATTCATGAATGGACACACATACATAACAAGAAACACTGGGTACAACTTGAAGCAGAGTCCTTTAAAGTACCACTAGGCACCATTCCATGGCATAGAAACAGAAAGGACCACATTCCCCCCTCACAGAAGTCCCACCCAATAATTATCCCGACCCTGAGGGTATGGTCCCAAATAAGTACTCAGCCAAGCATCTCCCCATATCTGTCCCCCCTATACCCAGTGACGCATAACCCTCTGTTCCAACCAGGTCTCACACCAAAAACATTTGAAGAGTTCTCAGACTCCATGTTACCCTACATTCAATACTGAAGGACACAGGTATCCGACCCCTAACTGAGATACTGCTCAACTGCACACCCACAATGTTGCAACAATTTGGTTATTCCCAAATTAGTCCCTTTATAACCTCGAACCCAGACCTTCTCAGGGGTACCGGAGCCCTAACTGAATTTGAACAATACTGTGTATCCCGAAAACTTAAATCTAAACTACTCTCAACTTTTTATAAAATGATCAGACGCAATGACTCACAGGCCTTGTCTAAATTTACCCAGGCATAGCAAGAAGATCTTAACATATCCCTGTCAGACTCCGACTGGAAACATATATTTTTAAACATTTATAAAATCTCTATTAGTACCCATAAACATGAAGGTAATTCCATAAGAATATCTATGTGGCACAATGCCCCCATTCCTATACACAGATTCCCAAATGCCTGAGAGACATGCTTGCGGTGCACTAATAGTAGAGGCACACCAGGTCACATCTGGTGGTCATGCCCAGTACTACAAGAATACTGGAAAAGAATTCTAATAAAAATTTACCTCATCACGCTTGTACGAATACTCCAAACCCCAGAGGCCATAGTGTTCTTTTTGTATCCTATCCCCATACAGAAGGTGAAACTAATGCTCATAAACCACATGCTAACGGAATAAGGGCATGATTACATAAAGTGGAATCTATACACTTACTGGAGGAAATTAACTACTCCAGCACGAACAGGTACACTCACTACCTAACAGTATGGGAACATTGGCTACAATACATGAAAAAGCAATCAATATAATCAACCCTTGTGAAGCGTCCCAACAGCCCTCACACCTACAATATTACTCACCAATCACCCTACCTTAAGCTTATCTGGTCTGACCCTACAGGTACATTAAGACAGGTACTTTAAAACCCTCACAAACTATAGGGTACTCAAGATGTACCTACAGACTTAAGGTTAATACTTATGTTTGACTTAAAGTACTGCTCAATTAAATGGAGAAATACCATGTGCAAACGCCATACAACTCTCATAAACCGACCAGAGTACACTAAGTACACTGCTGGCTATAATGATCCATGATTTTGTTTGCATATTACCTAAGGGAATATTGCATATGACCAAATGAAACTTCATGAAAACCCATATGTGATCTATGGGCCCAGAGCAAATGGTTTTCTAAACAAGTATTAGTGACAAGTATTATGTTCTATTTCAAATATTGTACTCTTGTTCATTACGTACTCTGTAACCTCCATTTACTTTGAACATTTAATGTCAGTACCTTATGCAAATGTAAAATAAAAAATGTAAACTTCAAAAAAACAAACAGGTTTTAGTAAAGTAGAATAAAATTGACCCAATGTTTAAAGCATTACATAAAATAATGCATTTAAAATTTACAAAAACGTCTAATCTACAATATTAATAGATGAAAAACCAACTAGCATTGGATGTTGTTGCATTTTCAAGAAATCTCCATCATGCAGATCATTAGCTTTGAGATCTGGACTTTTGGGAATTAGCTTGGCCAATTGGGAGCATCTAGTTTAACTCAGAACTCAAAGCATTGAATTGCAAACCACATTCAAGCAGTCTTCGCTTCGTTTTATGTGGAGTCCAGTTCAATTTAGGAGTGAATACAAGCTCTCTCTCTTCTCCACTCCTGGGGGTATCTCTCATTTCCACATCTTGTTGAATTATTTGTTTTCATGTTTGTTTCTATATTGGGAGATATTTATTCATTTTTTTAAATGATATTTTTGGAATACATCTAATTTCTTATCCTGGCTCATGTGCAACATTAACTGTACTGTGGCCCCCCGCTACTGTTTCTTGTCTCCTAAAGATTTTTGGCAATGGACATGGTATCTGTAGTGGACTTAAGAACCTTTATCCTGAAGCCCTGTTAAAGTCTGTGCTGCAACCTAGGATTCACTAATATATTGATATATTATTAATATATGGTATATACATCATCAGATGTAATGCCTTGTTCATTACAATAAACATACATACATCCATTTGGGAAACAACATGCATTTTATAGAGGTGTGACTCTACCCCCGATGCAGTCGATCAATGAAGACAGAACAAACTGCTAGCCTGCCTGTTTTGGTCTCCAGCACCTGATGGCCCAAGACAAAGCCAATAGGTGATGTCTGAAATTTATAAGAAAATTTATTAGAAATGTTAGAGCAGAATAAGCATATCTGAGGGTCTATATTCAGAGAATAGCATGTTTTTTTCAATAATGCCTTAAAATGTTAACATGCTTATTTGCTCATTCTCTCATTAGCAGCATCTCCATACAACAAGAAAGGTGGAGGAGGAAAATGAAGACCTAATCATGGTAGACACAATTAGGGGTTATGTATAAAGAATAGTGTGTTCTTAACAGTTGTACTAAAAGCGAAAATGTTACTATGGAAACCAGAAGAACCAGCAGGTACATCGCAGTGGTGACTCTGCACCTTCTCAACCACCTTTTCCAAAAGTTTACACCACTTTTCAAAACAGACACTTTTTCTACATAACCAGCAACATAAACATAATCATAAGTCCTTATCATGTATTTTTTTTTTTTTATTGCAACAAAAACTGGTGGTTTAACGGTGTTGCACCTGCTCCTATGGATCACCTACATATATTTTATATATATTTTCTTTTACTTATGTAATGTGTATATCAGTATCAGAATCCCTGCTTCTTGTGTCATAAAATATCATCTGCTCAAAGCATGACACTCAGATACGTGGAAGTGATTCTGCAGTTGCATTATCACAGTTGGACATTTGTGAAAGGCGCTGCAATTTTCTGGTTGCTCTAGGAGGCAAGAGGCATGTTCACTTTTAAATAAATATTGGCCATTTTAAGTAAAAATATATACATTTTGCAGCCATGGTATCAGATTACATCTGTCAGTATCTGGAATAAGGAGCATTAAATAGGTTTATTTAGACCATCAAGGACAAAGCAGGATACAACAGTTCAGCTAACGGGCCTTAATCATGATATACACCATTAAGGCTCATCGTTGTATGCATTGGCCACAGTATACGGTGCTTTGGTTTAGCAGCGGACTCACTTATGATCAATGCTCCTGTATTCAGTATTCTAGCACTAGTTCTTATACACTAGGGATGAGAAGTGTAAAAGGAATTTGAGTTTTAAAAAGTCCAGGCCAAGCCAGATATCTGGAATACATGACCTATAGCAGCGTTTCCCAATTGGTGTTCCGCGGAGAAAACAAATGAGGTTCACAGAGTTGCTGCCATGCGGTAGGGAGGAGGCAGGAGACAGCCGCCCAGAGAGTGAGCATCATGGATGACAGAGGAGAGGCTGGAGTGAGCACGCAGCAGCTCACTCCCATCAGCCTCAGCCAACATCACCAAGACCACACGCAAGCCACCCTCCTAGACACACAAGGTAAGTTAACAGGAAGGTGTGTGTGTGTGTGTGTGTGGGCCAGTGTGTGCATGTGTCACTGTGTGTGCCAGTGTCTAAGTATCTGTGTGTCAAGGTGTGTGTATGTGCCAGTGTATATCAGTGTGTGTGTATCTGTGGGTGCAAGTGTGTGTGTATGTCAGTGTGTGTGTATTTGTGAGCCAAGATGTGTGTATGTGTCACTGTGTGCATCAGAGTGTGTGTATGTGTATCTGAGTGTGTGTCTGTGTGTGTCAGCAGGCCCGGACTGGCCATCGGGCACACCGGGCAAATGCCCGGTGTGCCGCGGTGGCCATGGGCCGAGGCCGGCAGGGGAGGTCACAGAACATCCCCTGCTTGTCTATGCAGGGCCGGCACTATCCGAGTGCCGGCCCCGCTGTATTCTACGGAGGGCCGGTGGTGAGATTAAAGATCTCCCTCACCGGCCCATTTAAATAGACCTGCGGCTGGGGAGGGAGAGGACCCGGCGGAGCTCTATCTTGCAGTTCCGCCGGGTTCCTCTTGCGAGATCGGGAGCGTTGCCATGGCAACGCCTTGATCTCGCGAGAGTGAACTCTAGCCCTCAGGCTAGAGTTCACTCACCACTGGACCACCAGGGATGGTGCGCGAGCGCCGGTCCCTCCCCTCCCAGACACCACGTGCCTGTCCCCCCGTCCCAGGCTAAAGGTAAGAAGGGAGGAGGGGATTTAATGCCTGCTTAGTTTTTTTTTTTATTGTTTATTTACCCCCCTTAGTTTTTTTATTTATATATTTACCCCCAACACACAACATTTATACACAGCACTCTCACACACATCATACACAGCACTCTCACATACAGCACTCACTCTCACCACAATCAGCACTCTCAGCTCTCACACACATCACACATAGCACGTTCACACTCAGCACTCATCACACACATCACACTCAGCACTCATCACACTCAGCACTCTCACACACATCACACTCAGCACTCTGACACACATCACAGCACTCACGCACACATCACAGCACTCACGCACTCTCACACTCAGCACTCTCACACTCAGCACTCTCACACTCAGCACTCTCACACTCAGCACTCTCACACTCAGCACTCACACACACATCACTCTCACACAGCACTATCACACTCAGCACTCACACACATCATACACAGCACCCACACACACAGCACCCTCACACACACACAGCACCCAGCACACCTCACACACAGCATCCATCACACACATACTGCACCCCTCACATACACACACAACCCCCCGATACACTGCATCACACACATACACAATACTTCCAAACATATTTATATAATATATATATATACACACACACACTCTGGATCCCCTATATGCACACTAGATTCCTTGTAAGCAAACACATACTACATTCCCTGAACACACACTCTCTACAAACACTACATCACCTACACACACACACACACACACTATAGCCTGTATGCACACACTTGCTACATCCCCTATACACACATTCTCTACAGCCCCTAGCCACATATGCATTACATTACACCACAAACACAACACGACTAAAACTTATTACACAATACCACACCACAACCAGCTCACTCTGCACACACGCAATATCACAAGCAGGCTCCAAACACATGCACAATACTCTTTCCTGTCCCTTTTGTCTCCTGGTATCCATTTATAGAGACAAGTTTCAAGGAAACACAGTGCAAGCATGTTATTAAATTTGTTTGCACTGTGCAGAACACATACAGGTCTTTTTTTCTCATGCTAGAGCTCTTCAGCAGAGCTCTGCGCATGGTCTGCCCTGGAAGAGCATTGAACCAACATGCTCACTTTGAGAGGGGGCGTGTTTGTCATGAGAGATGACAAAACACACCCTCTCTGCCCCGCCCCCTTCTTAGTGGGCCGCTGTGATTAAAAAAAATGCCTCGGCCGAATTTTTTTCCCAGTCCGGCCCTGTGTGTCAGTGTGTGAATCTGTGTGCCACTATGCGCCAGTGTGTGTATCTGTGTGCCAGAAACATACACACACACATACACAGATACACACTGTGTGTCAAGATGTGTGTATCTGTGTGTAAAGGTGTGTGTATCTGTGTGCCACTATGTGTTTCTGTGTATCAGATTCATACACACTAACACACAGATATACACACACCTTGACACACAGATAGATAGATACATACATACATACATATATACACACACACACATACAGACTTCCCACGTGAGTTTGCCATGAGCTCCTGGAGGAGCCTGCTTGCCAGCCTCCTGCCCACAGACTATGGGCCCTGCAGGGAAACCTGTAAAAGACTATTTAACTGGCTTGGTTCGTGTGATTCCCCTATGCTGTTCGGAAACCGAACCGCCGCACAAACTATGGACCACCTGGGAGCTTGTTAAGCCAGATGGATACATTGTAACGATCCTAACCGCATTGTTCTAATGGTTCATCTGGGTGGCCATCTTGTTTGCACGAACTCAGGCAGCGGTGTTTGGTCGTTGAGTTCACGGAACTGAAAACGGACACTGAAACTCCCAAACACCGCTGGACTTCCATGATCGCCTGCGTTCGGTTTTATATAACTTAGAAGAATGCTGTTCAGTGGGATTGTTTGTCTGCATGAAGGGAACAAGCTCCACGGTATAACAATGGATTTTGTTTGGTAGTTTGTTCTCTTTTACACTACCGATCTTGACCGACTGCTACAACTTTTTCCCTGGAACGATTTTGGGTAGGAACTTTTGGATAAGTTGGTCACCCAGATCGGGGCTATCAGGGTATATAACTGTGGGGTTTTCAGGTAGTTAAATGTACTTTTGGGGTGTCTGTGAAATCTGTGTTTTTGTGCCTGGAGATAATTAAGTTTTGTACAGTTCCTGACTCAATTATCTCCCTGGCATAGGGGAAGGATCCTGTTTTGTGTGGGAGTGTCATGGGCGTGCTTGTCTGTGTTCAGAAATGTATAAAGGAAGGCCATCTGGCCAGATTAAAATATTCCAGCTTGTACTCCCAGAACTATGTGTCGGTGGTTACTGGGAGGGGAAAGGGCTAATCAATACTTCAGCTTGTTCCAGTGTTGAAGATTTAACAGGGAAAGTCCTTGTAAGGACTACAGCTCCCAGGAGTGAGTGTCGTCCAGTGCCTGGGAGTGGATAGAGTGAGTTCCCCATTCGACTCCAGGACGGAGTGGTTTCAGGACCCCAGTCAAGTCACGGCACCTGGGGGCAGGAGTGCTGAGGTTTGTCCCTTGTTCTAGCTAGGAAGCGGTCGTTGGCGGAGGTACCCAGCCGGGGTATAGGGAGCTCCGTTACAATCTGTGTGTCAGATGCATACACACACACACACACACACAGATACACATTGACACACAGATACACACACTGGCACATACAAACACAGATACACACACCTAGACACACAGAAACACACCGGCACGTACAAAAAAAAAGGTTTATGCAACGGCGCAATTTTGTTTTTGTTTTTTACAGGGGAGGAGGTTCCATGATGTTGATACACTACGTCAAAGGGTTCCACAGGAAAAATGAATTGGGAACCCCTGACCTATAGAAAAGAGAGAGATCACATGCAAGAGCTCACAGACTAAACTGGGGATTGCAGAGAATTGAGAAATGCATTGCCATATTTGTTAGCGGATATTACTAATTTGGTCTCCAATTTTTCCTCGACAATTCGTTACTATTCCAAGTGAATAACAAATAAATCCAATCACACATGTATATCATGTGCATGAAGCCCTTTAAATATTTTACTTTCATACAAATTTAAACCCACTTGAACATTCTGCAGCAAACATAACAAACAGCCTGCCCCGAAATTGGGAATTTTAGTTCATTTCTAGTACTGTACCTGCTGACAGTAAGAAAATAAGAACACAGACAATCCCGGGGCTTGTCTGCATGGTTGCTAATAGCCGAGATTCCATTACCATATTTTAAAAATGCATTAAGATTGAAGGGCATAGAGGCACACACTATAGAGTATTTCTTCATTGTTATGCTTCAGAGATTGTTACATTTGCTTAATAAGCACTGCCTCACTGGTACTCAAAGAAATATTCTGGCTTTAATATAAAATAAAAGCTTGTAAACAATATATTTTTGAAAGATTAGTTAGGGGTTACTGACTAAGCTCTTATTCCTCCCCCCCCCCAAACTTAATGAAACAAATTTAAAGCAATCTGCCACAATTCTGAATTGAGGATATAAAGTATTTTAAGAACCTCTGACATTTGCAAACTCCATGTCGATCCGAATGAACTCCAAACAATCTGAAAATAAACAAGGCAGTCCGAAATAGCCCAGAATGCCCCCCAGACTTCGATTAAAGAATAGCAAGAAATGTTGATTCTGCTGAATCAATTTTCCCGAAAAAAAATAAATTTTCTTCCTTATTGGGTAAGTGAAATGCAATAATTACAGAGTTGAGTGGTAGGCTTCCCTGGAGAATAATGTCCTCAGAGAGCATTATAAAGGAATGGAGTCTAGGTAAAAGTCTGACAGCACGGGGAAGTGCGTTCCAGAGGGTGGAGAAGAGAAATCCTGCAGTCTAGCATGGGAAGAGGTGATAACAGAAGATGCAAGGAGCAGGTCATTTTAAGATCTTAGGGGCCGGACTGGAGTATATTTGTGGATTACTGAGGACAGGTAGTTGGGAGCAGTGTTAGGGTTAAAATCTTAAATTTAATTCTTCTGTGTGTGGGAAACCAGTAGAGAGACTCGCATAGAGGTGCAGCAGATACAGAGTTACTGGTAAGGGGGATTAGTCTGGCAGAGGCATTTAATATGAGCCGAAGAGGGGAGAGTCGGGAGAGAGGAAGACCAGTTAGCAGGTTAATACAGAAGTAAAGACGAGAAATAGCAAGTGAGTGGAGTTGCTTATTGGTGTCAGCACTCAGAAATGGACGTATTTTGGAAATATTGTGTAGATTTTTGTGTCAGGATGAAAAAAATAAATGATTGGATGTGGGGGATGAAGGAAAGATTGGATTGAGTGTTACTCGAGTGGAACAGCGGACTTGGGATAACGGGGGGGATGGTGATGAAAAGTCAGACATTGTAGTAGAGCTAGAGGGAATTAAAAGGAGCTCATTCTTGGACATATTGATCTTTAGGAGGCAGGAGGCCATTCAGGAAGAAATTTCAGATAAGCAGTGACTGATGTGCGAAAGGACAGAGAGAGAAAGATCAGGCGGAGAGGTAGATCTCAGTGTCATCAGCATAAAGGTGATATTTGAAATTGTTGATAAGTTTTCCCAGTGACGAAGTATAAATGGAGAAGAGTAGTGTACCCAAAACAGAGCCTTTAGGTACTCCAACTGATAGAGACATGGAAGAGTGGGAAATACCAGCAAATAACAAAGAAGGCGACCTGTTGGAAAGATAAGAGTGGATTCAAGACAGAGCAGTGTTGCAGAGACCAAGGAAGCTGGGAGAGCTTCCATCTCTCTGGCATTAGTTGTGGAGGCAGATAGTCTGTAAGAGGCCTTGCAGACACAGATAAGATGACAAAGCATTCAAAAATGGTTTGACTACTTACACTCATGGCACTATAACCAGTTATGGTGCTTAAGGCATTTCTTTAAATAAATGGGGGAGAAAGGGTGTCAGCCATACCAGTGGGGCCCATCAGGTGGCCCATGGATGTCGGGCCACCCGATGGGTATTCTCTTGTTATTGCTAAACAGGGACCACATTGGGTGCCACAGCCCTTTAAGACTGCCACTGGGCCCCTGTGATACCTCTCTGCTGGGAGGAAGTGACAGCAGATCACTTCCTACCAGCTTCTTACTGATAGACCACGCAGGGTTGGAGGAGGCAGCAGAGGAGGCACAGGCAGCATGGGAGAAGACAGGAGCTGCAATAGACTGCTACAATGCTCCCCTCATCCAGCAGCAGCAGGACTCCAGGAAGCCTTCCAGGAAACAAAAGGTAAGATAACAGGAGAATGGCTGCAAATGTAAAAATGTACATGTTTATCTCAGATTGTTTGTGTGTTTGTTTATGTGTGTGTGTCTGAGTGTGTGTGTGTGTGTGTGTGTGTGTATGTATCTGTGTCACAGTGTGTGTCTGAGTGTGTGTGTATGCATCTGTTTTACTGTGTTTGTGTGTGCCTATGTGTTTGTGTCACAGTGTCTGTGTTTGTATCTGTGTCAGTGTGTGTGTGTGTGTCTGAGTGTCTCTCTCTCTCTGTGTGTATATATGTTTAACAGTGTTTTTTGTCTGAGTATCTGTGTCACAGTGTGTGTGTCTGTGTGTCACACTGTTTGTGTATCTGTGTCACAGTGTATGAGTTTCTATGTGTGTGTCTGTCAGTCCGTGTATCTGTTTAAAAGTGTTTGTGTCTGCGTTTAATATCTGTGTCCCAGTATGTGAGTGTGTGTCTGTGTCACAGTGTGTGTGTGTGTGTGTCACAGTGTGTGTGTGTCTGTGTGTCCAGGTGTGTATATGTCAGTGTGTGTGTAACTGGTGTCATTGTGTGTATCCTTGTTTCTGTGTATGTGTCTGTGTGTTTATATATGTATCTGTGTGTTAATCTATATGTATATCTGAGTATATAGCTCAGTGTGTGTGTGTGTGTCAGGGCGTGCATGTATCTGTGTGTCAGTGTGCATGTATCTGTGTGTCAGGGTGTGTGTATATGTCAGTGTGTATCTGTGTGTCAAGGTGTTTGCATGTGTCAGTGTGTATATGAATTTGTGTGTATGTGTCAGTGTGTTTATATGCGTGTATTTGTGTGCTAATGCGTATGCATCTATGTAAGTATGTATGTATGCATGTATGTGGCAGTGTATGTGTATATGTGAAAACATCCAGTGGTATATTTTGGATTTGTGCTGCCCTAGGCATGACGGAACTCGGGCACCTCCTAATTTAAATTTGCCCCACACCTTCCTGCCAAGGCCACACCTCTGCGACTAACAGACGCTTTGACTGACACACACAGACACACCCACTCACTGACCGGCACACACTCTCAGATACACTTGCATGTATTCACTGACAGATACACTGACATACTTACACAATCACTGATTTGACACAATCTGACAGACATACACACACACACACACACACACACATACACTCATTGGCACACACTGATAGACATACACACATATTCACTGACAGACACACACACTGACAGACATACACACACATTTATTGACAGACAGACACACACAAACTCACTGAAAGAAACACACATTCACTGATAGACACACAAATTCACTGACAGAAACACACATACACTGACAGACACACACAAACTCAATTACAGAAACACACATTCACTGACAGAAATACAATGACACAGACACACACATTAACTCAGACACACTGACAGATATAAACACACACTCACTGACACACAGACACACACTCACTGACACACATTTATTGACAGATAAACAAACTCACTGACAGACACACTCACAGATATAAACACACATTCACTGACAGGCATACACACACTCACTGAAACACACACACACACACACACACATTTCCCCCCAACATCTACAAATAATTGTTATTTATCTTTATATTAGTTTAAATCCACCCAACCTCCCTACTTTTATACGAGCTGGATGGATTTTTACCTGGGGTCCAGTGGGACTGGTGGGTTGGCCACTGGGCAGGCAGGCGATTAGAAAGGCAGGTGGAAGGGCAGACTGGCAAGGGGGAAGGTGGGTGCTCAAAATAGGCGGCGAGGGAGCTGTGATCTTCCTGCTCAGGTCCCTCGCCCGCCACTTAGTGATGCTGGGCACCCTGGAGTGATGTCATATTCCGGCTCCTGGCATCAGCACTCCATCGCCTCCTGCCTGTAATACAAAGTGGCTGGGCCCCCATAAATACAAATGTAATACAAACGTAGCCGGCCAGCTGTTGGGCCCCATAAAACAAGTCTAACAAGGAATTTGCCAGGGCACTTGGAGGGCGGCGCCCTCTGGAAATGCCTTGTTAGCCTTTCGGTAAATACAACACTGCATACATCCTAGCAATCAAACGTCAACACAACATGAAAACACACTCCTGCAATCTAACACAAACATTATATACAAACACACCCCTGCATTCAAACTCCAAAATTAAATACAAACACACTCCTTCACTCAAATACCAGTACTATACACAAATGTACACCAACATTTAAAAGCCAGCAATACATACATACACCCCTGCATTCAAACGCAAACACTGTACACAAGTACACCACTGCATTCCAATGGCAACAGTGCACAATATACTAAACATGCTTACATTCAAACGCACAAACACTGCCCATCCTTGCAGAGTTGTGTTCGTGAGCAAAGGGTAGATCCACAGCTGGCATATCATCATGTGATCATGTGATTAGTAAATGAGTTTAAGCATGCGTTGGATAGGCATAAGGCTATCCTAACTATAAGATAAGGCCAGGGACTAATGAAAGTATTTAGAAAATTTGGCAAACTAGATGGGCCGAATGGTTCTTATCTGCCGCCACATTCTATGTTTCTATAATCTACCTTTTGGCCACAAATTGCATTCCATTTCTGGTGAGATCTGAGGATTTTAGTTTTTGGATTTATCTTTTTAAATTTTGGAATTTTTGGCAAGTTTGAAAGTTTTTAGGGTTATTCACTAAAGTGAC